GATACAGACACAGTGTGGGACTAAGGGATACTGACTGTATACAGACATAGGGTGGGACTTAGCGATACTGACTGTATACAGACATAGGGTGGGACTTAGTGATACTGACTGGATACAGTATATGGTCATCTTCATCATACAAAGTACAGGGCCAAAACAGCTTCCTGATTATTGTGCAGATAAGGAATGGAACCATTTTACACCCTGTCCACACTATGCTCTGATTACATGGGGCGAGGCTTGGCAACTGGAAGGTCCATGCAGCCTCAACCAGCCCCTGGTGTTGTATTTCACTGGTCTGCGAGGTGGAACTGTAGTGCCTGCTGTGCCCTGGGCTTTCTGTCTGCTTTATGACTATGGTAAGCCCTAGGCCTGGAGAACAGCAGGAAGTTCCCCATTCCCATCCATTCCCCTCTGAATGCTATTAATTGATCTGGGGATCACATTGGTGAGTGGTATTGTGGTAATGATCAGCCATCATCTGCTTGAGCCAGCCTGACGGACTGAATCAGCTAATTCTCATTCTAATTCCTGTTCCTTTTTTTTCCTTATGTGCAGTGGGGATGATTTGATCTCCCTAAAATGAATTGAACCGTGATCTTTGAGCACCTGCCCTTGAGGATAACCACGTAGATCTGAACAGCTCTCGACCCTGGTTGATTGGGAATCTCCGCTGGGAACAGGATTGCATTCACTGCACTGCTCAGTGTGAGCAGCTCCCCCTGCAGTGCGAAGCCACATGGATGCTGAGTTCAATTCCCCGCCTCGTCTGCCATGGTCAACAGAGGTGAGGATTACTCCTGGGGAAGGTTCCTGGTCTTGGGGATCAATGTGTGACACATGAGCCAGGTCTCAGGGTCAAGGTACCAAAGAGCGGGCTGTTGGGCAAAGGCTGCAGGAGTCACATTCTTTCAACTGGCAAGAGTTCATGAGAACACAAAGGGAAAGTGTATCAGATGCCTCAGCGATCCGAACTTTGCCCTTGCTGCCTCTCAGACAGCGTTCAAGGACACTCAGTGACTGATGTGGGACCGAACAGGAGCTGTGATCTCATGTTGATCAATGGTAGGTGATAAACAGATGGAAATCAAAGGAGAGGAGGAGTCAGGTGGGGACACAGCAGGAGGTGGTGAATTCAAAGGCAGCGCAAGCCTTCCGCCTCATAAAGAAACCTTATCTCGCTCAAGCTCTGCCGGCTTCTTTGATGTATCTGCCAGTTTTCGTACTGTACTCGTCAATAATGATCTGGAAACTCTCATAAACCTGGGCAGAGGGATGCAACAATGGCTGGTACTGTTATAGCTGCTTTAACATACAGCAAAACACCATAACATTTCACAGGAGCTTTACATGATCCCTGAGCGTGGGGATGGTCAGTGAGCCCTTGCGTGGACTGAGGATGGTGGGCAGCCTGGAGCGGAGTGGGGACTGTCAACGGGCCCTGGGGCGGACTGAGGATGGTGGGCAGCCCAGAGCAGAGTGGAGTGGGGATGGTCAGTGGGACCTGGAGTGAAAATGGCTCCTGGTTGGGAACTGGTGGACCCCAGTCATATGTGGAAGCTCTTATAGACTGTAATGGCTATCTTTTTAGCTTTATTTCTTATTTTCCTAACTTATACATATGTATGTATAACTGTAATGTAGTGTAACATTTTCTCTTTATTTTCTGTGTTTTGTACCTAGGTACTTTGTGCCTAGGATAGTGCCGTGTGTTGGCGACATTGTGCACTTTTCACTGTACTCCTGTTCTTTCATAACTTAAGTACACGTAACAATAAATCTAATTCAATTCAATTTAATTCAATCAGAGAGTGAGCCACAGAGGAGATATTCCAAGAACTCGGACAATAATGGAAGTCTGAAGGAGCATTTGAAAGAAGGAGAGATTGAAGAGGAGATTTCCAGAGCATAGGGAACTGAAGACACGGCCACTAATGAAGTGTAAATGAAATTGGGGTAGTGTAAGAGGTTGGAATTGGAGGTGAACCGAGATCTCTGAAGATTGTAGGCCTGAGGGAGATTATAGATGGAGCCTCCTGACTGGGAATTGGAGCATTGTAGCAGACAGTTCACTCGTGCCAGGTGGCTGAGCTGATCGACATTGATATGTGCCCGCTCAGGATTCAAATAAAGCTCATGGCTTTCTCCTGCCTGACAGATGCTGGCTCATGCTAGGAGACTGTGTCACTAGTGCTGGCTTCAATCCACCCTCCATCATGGAGCCAAGACTCCAAGCACTAGCAAGTCAGTCAGGCGGCGTGGGCCAGAGTTGTTTTGTTTCTGTGGGCTTCTCAGAAGCTTAGTCTAGCGCCTCAGGGGGAACCACACACGCAGTATCCACCCATTTGCATACATCCCCAGATGCCAATACTGACAGATCGTGGTGTTTGCTTGGATTCATCACCAATGTGGTGACAGCCCTTTCAAAACCTCCAGGCCCACTCAATTCAAACAAGAGCAGGAATAAAAAACACAGCCAGGGCTAAGTTGCCTCAAATTTGTGACTGACAAAAATCAGGAGGTGTATACAGCCATTGTCTTCTTTATAACAATCTCCTGTAAGTTCTCCCTTCCATTTCGAGTCAGACATTCACAGAAACTGTCTCAATCTTTCCATCTCATCTCTCTTTTCCAGACAACACAAACACAGAAAAAGTTTAATTCTGATCTCTTGCTTCAACACTTCAAAATTCATTTGCCCCTAATAATCTCAGTTTCACTTTTGCCAACTAATGAAAGGTTCTACCCTAACCCACACAGGTTGGCACTTTCAAATGACCAATTCTTTCACCTTCAGTTCACCAGTTCTGCAGCTGTCTCTGTGCTGAACCACTGTCTACCTGCACATTTGATTTCCTTGGTTAGGGATGGACAATAAATGCTGGCCTAGCCCTCAGACTTTATTGCTTTCTTATGCTGAACTCACCTGATACCTTATTTCCTACTCCAGTGCTGCTGTCTCTCTCAACTCTCTGTACTGTGGTATTCCTCTCTGACTTTACATTATGGTTCACATCTCTGCCACGGTAAACCTTCCTTAATAGCATGAGCAAATCACCCCAGAAGGAAGTCAGTTGAAGCTCTGTTCAGCCAGTGGACTATTCGACTGTTGTATTATTGGATTGTAACTAGCCTGGCCTGCATAGATCCCTTCTCCCCCAGAACTGATCTCTATCTCCCTTCTGTATCATTTGCACCCTAGTCCCCATCTTCAGTCTTTAAAGTCCAGTAGGTAAAGATTGCAGCATCTCTGATTTACTGTATATATCTGGGATACGCCAAGAACTAGCAGGCCTTGTTCTGATTCCATACTTAGCTCTCCAGTCACAGCCAGTGTATCTCCTGCAATGATTTAACTTTCCATCCTGGTTTTTATAACCTCTTTCATTCCATGACCTTGAATCTATCAGCTTTACCATTTGATGGCATCACCCAAATCCTGACTGGTACAGCCATCAATATGGTGTCATCTCCGCCTGCAGTCCCAGTAATGACCACCCCTCCTGGTGGTGCTCCTGAGCTGTAGTCCTCTGATTGGACTTCCAGCTCTTGTTGGTGGGCTGCTGTCTTTAATAATGGCAGAAACCCTGGCAACAATCCCTTCACTGGCTGCCACTGGCAAAATGCAACACTGGGCTCCACCATTCCACTTTTGGTCCAGGCACCAGGACAGACTTCTGCTGGATTAGAGAGATTCCAAACCTTCTCTCATTTCAACCACTTGCTGCGTCCACCAAAGAGGGTAAATCATTTACATTGTCTAACATTCACCATTCAGCAATTTGTAGGTTCCTTAACCCAGTCCTTATTTCACGAACCTGTTGAACACACTAGCCTGCTCCTCCCTGTTCTCCTGCAGCCAATGTGAACACAATGGGGCCTGAAGCAGTGTGCAGTTGCTGTGCAACTCCCAGCATAGAACCAAACTAGCTACTGCCTGGTGTTCTCGAGAGTCTGCAGTATTTCAGCATCATGTCAAACTGCCTGGTAATCTGCTATGCTGGGTGAGACATGGTTACAAGATTTGGGAAGACTGATTGGCATGGACAAGTTGAACCAAAGGGTCTGTTTCTGAGCTGTATGACTCAATGACTGATTGGCGGGGGTATCAGAATCACTCAGGGCCCCTTGTACCCAAACAGCTGGGATATACACAAGGGTGGCTCAGTGGTTAACATTACTGCCTCACAGTGCCTGGGATCCGGGTTTGATTCCACCCTCGGGTGACTGTCTGTGTGGAGTTTGCATATTCTCCCCATGTCTACTTGGATTTCCTCCGGGAGCTCTAGTTTCCTGCACAGTCCAAAGATTAGGTAGATTGGCCATGCTAAATTGCCCCATAGTGCCCAGGGATTAGCCATGGGACATGTGGGGTTATGGGGATTAAGGAGGTGTTGGTCTGAATGGGATACTCTTTGGAAGATAGATGCAGACCTGATGAGCCAAATGGCCTCTTTCTGCACTTTAGGGATTCTTTAGAGGTGACGTGATGGCTGGGGAACTGCTACCTAACAGGGATAAGAAAAAGGGTGAAAGTGGAAAGGGTACAGTCATTTCTCCACAGAAAGAAAGCAAATCCCTCAGTCAGATAATCTCTGTGTTCCATTGTCACTGTTGGTCCCTCATGGGGATAATTTTACTGTTAGAGCCATCTTGTTATGTTTGGCTGGTAGGCTTGAAGTCTGTGATAAATGATGGCTCAATGGGCTGAACTAACACTGTCAGATTCAACAATGCTGAATCTAGCCTACACTGAAAGCCATGGGATGTAGAGTTAGCTGCCAACTGTTGAGGGCATTGCCATGGAGATACAGAGGAAACAATGAACACTGGAAGTCAGAGACAACACCTAACTCTACCAATGCAATCCATCCAGTTAGTTCATTAGTATTCACTCTCGTTGAATGCTGACACACCAGCCTTTACATTTCCACTTTGTAGACAATGTGCTGCAAAGTTTGGAGCAGCTTTCACTGTCCCCTCTGTGAAGGAATTTTTCAAAACTTTGACCATTACTGCTAAGGCTAGCATTTGTTGCCATACATGAGAAAGCATTGGGAGGTCACCTTCTTAAGCAGCTGCAGTTCAACTACTGCAGATATCTCCTCAGTACCATCAAAAAATGAGTTCCTGTAACATGATGTCCCAAATCCTGTACTCAATTTTCTGACCGATGAAGGCAAGTGTGCCAAATACCATCTTTACCACCCTGTCTACCTGTGGTGCCACTTTCAAGGAACTATGTACCTGAACCCCTTGGTGTCTCTGTTTGACAATTCTCATCAGGGCCCTACTGTTAATAAATCCTGCCCTGGTTTGTTGTACCAAAATGCAACATCTCATATTTATCTGAAACATCTCCATCTGTCATTCCACGGTGCACTTGCTCAGTTGATCGTGATCCCATTGGACTCTTAGATAATCTTCTTCACTGTCCAGTGTACCATCAATTTTGGTGTCATCCACAATCTTACTAACCATGCCTCCTTTATTCTCATCCAAACCATTTATATATACATATATTTGAGGATTCAGGAAGTAAGCAGCTAGTTGCAGAATTCTTAACTGCTGACCTGCTCTTGTAGTTACAGTATAGCTGATCCATTTCAGTTTCGGGTCAGTGGTAATCCTTAAGTTATGGGACTTGGCAGATTCATTGACGGTAATACTGTTGAATGTCAGGGTGAGATAATCAAACTTTCTCTTGTCTGACTTGTCCATTGCCTGGAATTCCATTCACAACCCCTTAAAGAATGCAGCAAACTGTGCTCGCATGGAAGATAACCTGAATACCATTCACGTTTGGATAGATAAGTGGCAAGTTTCTTTGCTGTTTATGGGCACAGACTGCTTGAGTATTTGAGGGAGAGGTGAATGTATAGAATATACAATCATCAGTGACCACCCCCACTTCTCACTTTATGATGGAGGGAAGGTTCTTGATGAAGAAGTGGACCATGGTTGGAGATACGATACTACCCTATGGAACTTCTCATGGGGCCAGGATGACTGGCCTCTGACAAAATCAACTATTTTCCTGTATTCTAATTATGATTCAAGCCAGGACGGAAATTCTCCCTGTCATTCCCATTAATTAACGGAGGCACTTTGGTGTCGCACTTGTTCAATGTTGCCTCGATGTCAAAGGTGGTCACTTTCCTCTCAGCTCTTTTGTCCATGTTTGGAACAAGTCTGTGTGGAGCTGACTGGCCCTGGAGAAGAACTGAGCTTCAGTGAGCAGGTCATTACTGAAAAGTTGCTACTTGATATCACTGTCGACAACCCCTCCAGTGACTTTGCTGACAATTTAGGGTGAGACTAGGATTAGGCAGGATGGGGTGATAATTGCTTGGGACATAGCTGGGCAATTTTCCACATTGTCAGGAAGATGCCAGCATTGTAACTGCACTGGAAGAGTTTGGTTAGGGGAGCGTCAAGTTCTGGAGCACAAGTCTTCAGTACTATTGCTCGGATATTGTCAGGGCCCATAGCCTTTGTGGTATCCAGTGTCTTCGGCCACTTTTGATATATCACGTGGAGTGAATTGGCTGAAGGCTGGCTTTTGTGATGCTGAGAACTTAAAGAGGAGGCTGAAATGAATCATTCACTCAGGTCTATCCAGCTAAAAATGTTCAGCCTTGCCTTTTGCACTGATATGCCAGACATTAAGGATCCTCCACTAGCAAGTTGTTTAATTGTCCACCACTATTCAGGACTCAATATGGCAGGACTGCAGAGCTTAGATCTAATCTGTTGGTTGTGGGATCACTTAGCTCTGTCTATTGCAGACT